CCCGTGAGATGGATGTGGAGAGGTGTAGCCCAGGTCCCTTTCCATGAGGAAGGGCTTTGTTGCCCAGCTGCTGGGAGTACAGTCAGCAGATAGCCTTCTGCTGTCAGCCCCTTCAAGGATTGCCTCAGCTACAGAGCACACTTACCCGCAGTCATGACCTTCCTTAGGTAGTCTACATCAAAGGACTGACTGGGGCTGAGTAGAAAAGAGGTAACTCAGATGGGCCATTTTCACTCTGGAGCTCCCCAGGGAGCTGGCTGAAGCTGTCCTCAGACCCGCCTCTCAGCTTGATGTCTCTCTCCACCCTATCTTGCATCCCTCTCCTCTCTTCCCCAGATACAACCCAAGAGCACTCACTCTCTATCACAATCAAGTGTGCTAGGCCTCTCGGGGTGTCATACCAGAAGACAACCTGTGACACCCTCCGTGTTTTCTTAGCACTGTGACTTATAGTTAATATCATTTTATTTGTTTATCGGATGTATCTGCTTAAGGTCTGTGAAGGCAGGGGACTTTGTTGTAAAACTGCTGTATCTCCAGTAGTTTCCTAGAACAATGAGTGGCACATAAAGAGCAGGTGCTTAGGAAATGCTTATTGAATGTTGAATGAGTTATTGTCACCATCCTCACCAACTCACTACTCTAAAATTACTCAGTAGTCAGAGTCCTTGAGCGATGTCTAATATGAAGGCTCCAGCTTTTTAGCAGACATGCAACTCAGGGGACACAGTCTTTCCAGAATGATTTAGTTCTGGAGTGGGAACAGGCCAGATGGTTTCAGATCTTGACAGCAGGGCTCTGCTTAACTAACACCTCTATCCTTCCTGTTCTGTTCTCCTTTTGTCTGGACAAATTTAACAGGCTGTTCTCACATGGGCCAAGGGCCTTCGAATGAGCTACACTGCAGGCATTTTGACCTGGTCAGTCCATAGGATAAATTTCAGATTAAGTGGTTATTCTTGAGTATTTTTATACACTGTTTCAGCTTTTCCACTTTCTCTGTAATTTCTCTTGATGACCAATTTACCATTACAGGGGACACTTTACCATCCTAGTGTTATATACAGGCAAACTGGGGTCAGAAGAGTAGATTCATTCATCCCAAAAAGTTTTAATGAATACCTTCTCATGTCAGGCACTGGGCTGAGTGTTGCGGGATATGAGGATGATTGGGCAGAATAGGAGGGAAACAGTTCTGTAACTGAGGTGTGAATCAAGAGCTGGGAGGGCTAGTGATCATTTCTATATTGGGAGACAACATCTGGGAAAGTTTTATTGTGTAGGTAACATTTTTTTTTAAACTCACTTTAAACATATTAGGTGCTTTTGTTCAAACTGTGTTTTGCTCTCTCCCTTCCTTGCATTTCTAATTCCTACAGATTCTAATCATTTTCAGTGGGTGCCTACTCATGCATACACAAACATGCTTTATTTAAAACAAAAAATGGAATATGCCTCCTTTTAAACTTAACCATATTTTGGTTATATCCAAGGATACTCAATGCAGTATTTTATGTAATAACAAGAAACTATACCCCACTAAAATATCCATCAGTAGGGAACTAGACAAATAGTTACTCTACAGTAGAATATTATACAGAGGAAATAAATGAGGTAGGTCTGCATGATATGGAACCATCTCCAAGATATACTATAAGATATAAAAAGAAAGCTGCCAGACAGATTGTTTAAAAGGAAAAGACAGGTGTGTGTGTGTGTGCGTGTATGTGTGTGTGAAATAATCACACATATAGGTTTGCGTATACATGAAACATTTCTGGAAAGATTATTAAGAAACCATGAGCAGTAGTTGCCTGTGCTGTGGGAGACAGACTTATTTTTCATTAGATGCCCTATTATCCTATGTGGAATTGTTTACCATGTGGCTTTAAATTTTTCAATTAAAAAACTAGTTAATTAAAAACAAGCTAACCATATAGCATGGACATTTTTTCCATGTTACTATATAATACATTCAGGTCTTATCATTTCTAGGTACTATTTTAGGTGTTTCAGATGCATTCACTTATTGATTTCCCACAACAACCTGTGATGTAGGAGTGATTATTACTCCATTTCACAGGTAAGAAAACTGAGGCAACTTGCCCAGGCCCACACAGATATTAGTGGTAGAGCAGGGATTTGAATCCATGTAACCTTGCTCTGAAGTCCATGCTTTTAACCTTTATTGAAGAGAAATACCACACCTCTCTTTCTTTTTAATGGCTACAAAGTGTATTCTACAAAGTGATTGTGGCATACATGTTTAATCACTCCTCTTTTGACAGGCATTTGGGCTGTTTCTAGGATCTTGCTAACACTTAGCATGTTGCAAAAACATACTTGTGATTAATCCTTTGTGCTCTTGGGTAAATGTATTTACGAGAAGCCCTGGAAGTAAAACTACTGCATCATCTAAAATATGATAGTAGTTAACAGATTATTTTCCTTAGCCAATTTGTTTTCCCCTTTTCTATGTATGAAAGAAAGGAAGTATCCCAAAAGCCCAGTTTCTAGAAAAGGGGAAGCTCAGTCCCAGTAGAAGACAGTATGAGCAGAGACAGTGGCCTGTGTGTTTTGTGAGGTTAGGGATTGTCTACCTCATCCTTGTTCAACAAATATTTATTGTGCCCTCACTGTGTGCTCCTGGACAGAGGCAACACAGTAGTGGTGAACGCAGCAGACGGCGTCCAGGTCCTCATGGAGCTGAGAGTCTGAGGAGGGAGAGGTGGTAATGAAGTAAAAGCACAAAATGAAAATATGCTAACAAACTGTGATAAGTGCCAAAAGGAGAAATCGGGGCAGAATGGAAGGGAATAGTAGAGTCTTTCTTTAGAGAAGGTGACCAGGACAGGACTTTCTGGGAAAGGGACATTGCACCCTGGACAGAAGGAAAAGTAGAAATTAACGTAAAAGTAGAAGGGAACAGGTTGTTTCCTGGCCCCTAAAGAGGTTGGTGTGGTGGGGCCAGGGCCCTATGGCCTTTGAACCACTGAGGGGTTTTAAGGGAGGTGTTGATCTGCTTACATTTTTGCAGACTCCCTTAGCTGTGTAGCAGCTGGATTAGAGCAGGAGGAAGAATTCAAGTGGCAAAACCAGTTACAAGCTTTTGCCAAAGGACAGGAGAGAGATAATCTTGTTTGGTCTAAAGTGGAGGAGGAAAAAATGTACAGATTAAAAGAAACTCAAAAGACATATTGATCTACTGCAATGTGTGGACCTTATTTGGATCCTTAATTGGATTACTATTTTTAAGTGTAAAAAAACACAGTTATAAGACAATTGGAAATTTGAACACAGTATATTTGATATTAAGGAATTATTTTTAAATTTCTTTTACATTTAACTCCATCTCAGGATTAAAGAGTTGGAAATTATCCAAAAGACACTCTAGAAATATAAACTGATGCATTAAAGAATGATGATATACATATATATACCATTTCATTATATTTAATTGCAGTTTTTCCTATATAGATATTTACATCTATATTTTCATAGCTGAGATAATAGTTTAAGCCCAGGTTGGTATTGAAGCAATACTTTTTAGAAGTTTAAATATGCGGTGTTCTGGGGCCCTGGAGTAGTAATGCCACTAAACACCAAACCAGGACACTTTTGAGAGTGGAAGGTGATGAGCTGTAAACTTAGATTGCCCTAGAGAGGCAATTGCTTGCCTTAACATTTTGTTTGCCTATTAACTTTTCAGAAACTGCATCTGGACACGTTCATTGCTCATTGTTCAAAGTAACAAAGACCTACTTGGGAGTAAGTGAAGAAGTTCTTGCCATCTCTAAGAAACATTCAGTTATCACTTCTTCCAGAAAGTCTGGACTCCTCTTTTCCCCATCCTGAATTGGATGACCTTCTCTGTTGTTCTGGGGCAGTGGTTCTCAATGCTGGCCACTAGGATTTGCTCTTCCCCACACTCACCCACCACGGGGACATTTGGCAATGTCTGGAGACATTTTTGGTTGACACACAACTGGGTCAGTGGGAATGCTGCTAGAATCTAGTGGGTGAAAGCTAGGGATCCTACCCAACATCATAGGATACACAAGGGAGCCTCCCAGTTGCCCAGCACAGAATTACCAGGCTCAAAATGTCAACACTGCCAAGGCTGAGAAACCTTGCTGGATGGCGCCTTTGTCATAGCATTTCATAAGGACAACTGTAGTTGTCAACAGGTTGGCCTTCCCAGCCAGCCAGCCAGCTCCATGAAGACAGGTGATACATGTATCTTGTTGAGTGTTTGGCACTTAATGATTGAAGGCAGAGGGGAAGGTACAACCAGATTCAAAGCTGGTCCTGTGAGATCATCCTGCTTGTTTTCTTGAACCATTTCCCACCTCCCTTGGGGTGCTGTAATCAGTCAGTTTATAAGTATTTCATTCTTCAACATTTAGCAAATATTTATTAAATATTTACTAAGTACTAGTAGTGTCCTAGGTATTGGGAATACAGCAATGAGCAAGGCAGAGTCCCTGCTCAAATGAAGTATAGGGGAAGACAAACAAGAAGCAAGGAAACAAAATGATTTCAGACAATCATAAGTTGTATGAAGAAAAATGAAGTGTGATGCACTAGGGAATGATGGGGCAGGCTGGCATATTCTAGGTCAGGTGTGCAGGTGACATTTAAACTAATGATGAGACTGCCATCTATGGAAAGCTCCAGGCTAAGCGGGAGGGTGATATAGGCTGAGACAATCGCAATCGCAAAGACCCTGAGGTGGAAAGAGAGTGGCCATTCGATGAAGACCATGTATAGGGCCTGATCACTTATGGCCTGAAAACGTTTGGGTTTTGTTGCAGTCGGAACCCTGATTTGGGTTGTTAAAAGACCACGATGGCTTCGGGAGAATGTATGAAACATCTACTATATTTAGAGTAAAAAATTCTCACACTTGTCTCCGCTACCCCTTCCTGTTAAAGGGGAAACCCCCCAGATCCAGAAGGGGGCGCTCTAGGCGCCGGAGCGACAGACGAGAACGCTAGGACTCTGAGTTTTAGAGAAGCAGGTCGCTTCCGGGAGCGGCCGGGTTGCTCGGCGCCTTCCTCTCTATCCGCGCGTGTCTGTGGTCGCAGGGGCCCAGCCCCTCGTCGCCGCCCGGCGGTGCTCGGACTCTGCCCTGACCCCAGCCGGGCAGCCGGGCCTGGCGTCTGTCAGATCGCGGGCCATGGTGGTCCCGGCGCCCGCGGCCAGGGCTGGCGCTAGGTGAGCCGGGCGGCTGGGGGCGAGGGCCGGGACTCGGGGCGCCCTGCTCGGGGCTGTGTGGGGCAGGGGCCCGGGCTGCCTTCCCTCCTCCACCGCGGCGCCGGCCGAACCCTCGTCCCGGCGGAGACGAGCTGCCGAAGGGGCGCTCACTCACCCCTCCCAGCCGAGGCCGCCGTCCTGCCTGCGCGGGAACCTCTGCCGTCCGCTGCCCTCTGGGGGTGGGATATTTTGGCTCGGAACTGGCTCCCCCATCCCCGAGAACCTCAAGTGCACAGAATTGAGTTGATCATCAGTCTCAGTTCCTGTCCCGCTGTGGGCCGGTACAAGGCTCTTCTTGTGTTTTTATTTATCTTTCTCCCATCGTTCCTTATTCTCAGTCCTATTTCATTCCCCTTCTCAGACACACAACTCTGGTGATTTAAAGGGGGGGTGGTCTTTACAGCTAACCGTACATAAATTTGCGTATATGTTGCCTTGAAAAATGTATAGTGATTTTGAGTTCATATAAATAATACTCTGTTTAAAAAAAACAAAAATCTTTTTACTCAACATTGTGTTCTTGAGATCATACATGCTATAGTAATCTAGTTTCCACTTCTGAGGGCTGCCTGATGTCACCCCAAGTGCATTAGACGCCGTTTTACTTACACATTCCCCTAGTGATGGACATTTTGATTGTTTCCAGTTTTTAACCACCACAAACTATATTGGCACTTGCCTCCTGGAGGACACGAGTGATTTTCTCTGGATTATCCAGGGTAGGATGTGAGGTCATACTTAATTCTACTAAATTGTTCTGAGAAATGGTTACACGGGTTGGTATTTCCCAATAATATTGATTGCGTAAATGTTGCTGCTTCTCAGTATCCTCCCAGTGTTTTTAATACTGTTTGTTTCTAATGTTTATCAATGTGATGGGTGTAAGGTGGTTTCCCATTGTGTTAATATTCATGTATTAAGTATTGGGGTTTTCCCATTTCTAAATTGCCTGTTTATATCCTTTTCCCACTTCTCTGGATTTCCTGTCTTCCTGACTTACAGGAATTCCATGTAAAGCTCTAGATTTTAATTCCGTCTTGGTTTTACACTCTGCAAATGCTTTCTCAGTCTTTTAACTTAACCTATGGCTCTATGTTGAACAAAAGTATTTAATTCTAAGTTAAATCCATTAATTTTCTTCTTTATAGTTTATGTTTTGGGGTCTCATTTGAGAATACCTGCCCACTCTATCTTCCCACTCTTCTACATTTCTATTAACTAAATAGTGTTACTTTGCACTTATAGATTTTTAATATTTGAAGTTTTTAAGATTTATTTTGTATGAATGGTTTGAAGTAATGACCTCGTTTTTTCAACCATCTTCAATTAATAACTAATGAATTAATAATTAAAATGCATTGGTGTACCGTAGTTAAGAGCACAGCTTCTTGGAGCTAGGCTACCTGTGTTCTAATCCTAACGCTGTCACTTACCAGGTGGGTGACAGGGCAAGTTACTTAACCTCTTTTGCCTGAGTTCCTCATCCATAAAACAGGATATAGTCTCCATCTCACAGGGTTGTGACAAATGAATTAATACACGTAAAACACATGTAGAGCAGTACTGGGCACATAGTACATGCTTAATAATTGTTGCCAACTATTAGTGTTGGCACTAATATACCTTTTTCTTGTGATGTAACCTGTATTATGCATTCATGTAAACAAAGGTCTGTTTTTTTCTTTTTGGCCTCTCTGTTCCCATTGCTCTTTTTTATCCTGTATTAATAACCCATTTTGTTACAACTGCAGCATTATAATATGTTTTAATAACCTGATGGTCTGGGTCTCTTCCTCTTTTCCTGTTCTTCACAGTTGCTCTAAGTTATTCATGGACCTTTATGTTTTCACATAATGTTCCTCAGAGAAGTCCTGCTTTTGATTGGTATTACATTGAATTTATCGGCTACTTTTGTTAGAAATTAGGTCTTTATAATGTTAAGTTATACCAGTTCTGTCTGTTTTAGTCTTTGACATCCTATAATAGAGCTTTTCATTTTTCCTCCAAAATGTTCTATATGTTCTTTTTTAAACTTAGTTCCTGGATATTGTATAGCTTTTCTATACTTTTCTTACTTTGTGAATGACATCTTTCTTTATGTTATCCAGTTGGGTATTGTATGTTAAGTGATATTTGTATGTTAACCCTATATCTAGTTGAACTCGTTTATTCCCTTGATTTGTTTCCTGTGTAAATTATCACATCTGCAAATAATGACAGTTTCATCTCTTCCTTTTCAGCTTTTACTTCGTTTCTTTTTCTTGCTTTATTGGTTTAGTCAGGACCCTAAAATCCTTGAGAAGTGGGTTTCCTTCTCTTGTTTGTGACCATAAAGAGAATGTGGCAAAAGTTTCTTTATTGCCTATGTATTTTGCTGTAGATTTTTGCTAAATAATTTTTTTAACATGAGAGCATTTATCATGGCAAAGAAATTCCTATTTCTCGTCTGCTCCCAGCCTACCATCTTCAGCATTCATAAACCTCCCTTCCTGGATGGTCTGGACCCCCTCCCCACCAATAGAACAATGTGGATAAGTTTGGTGACTGTTCTCTAAGACTTAACTGCCCTCTTAATTATCTCTCTGCTTCTCCTGCCCCACTTCTTCAGGCCCAGGTTAGACCTGCAATTTCTCCAGCGGTTCCTGCAGATACAGAAGGTTTTGTTTCCATCTTGGTCATCACAGAATGCCTTGATGTTCTTAACCCTTTTGTCTGTGGCCCTACTAGGTGAGTGAGTGAGCCCAGGAGGCAGCAGGGAGGGCAGCCCTGGTTTGGGTGCATTTTCCTCTCTCTGGGTTAATCAATCAGTGATGAGGGGTTCTCATCATGTGTTTCTCACCCCTCATCACTGATTGATCACTAATTTCTGATTCCTTCCCCTCCTTCCAGAACAACTGGTGATCTACCAGGTTGGCTTGATCCCCAGTCAGTACTACGGGGTCCTGGGAAACAAAGACTTGAATGGTTTTAAGACCCTGACATTCCTGGCTGTCGTGCTTATCGTTGTCAATTCCATGGTAAGGTCTTCTTTCTACATCTCTTCTTCTCCAGCCTAGTATGAGTAGAATGCCCAGTGACATTCCACGAGGAAGCAAGAATCAAGATGTGCATGTGTGTTCCTTCCCTTTTCTTGCAACTTAAGGTCAGATACCTAGACAGGGCATTAATCTTGTTATTGGCCCACTTGGGATTAATTCCTCAGGTAAATTTTCAAGCTCCCAGGACTAGACCACGAGATTCTGGTTTAATTTAGCGTTTAGTGGAAATGGTCTTTGCCCCTTCCAGTCCCAGAAGTCTTGCTTCAGGGAGTTCAGAGCATTTGAAAATGGGGATCAGCAGCCAGAGCTGCTGTTCCTCCTCCGGGGGCTGAGTCAGCCTGGTACCATGTCATACCTGCCAGCCTTTGCATCTAGGTGGGGTGGCCTCCTTCCCCCACCTCTTACTCACTTGGTTAATCCTTGCTCATTTTTCAAGATTCCTCTGTTGTCATTTTCTTCAAGTCCTCCTCATTTTCTCCTTTATTTCCTCCAACAAACTCTGCCCTCTTCTCAACTAATACTTTTAATTTACTTCTGCTGGAATACTCCCCACACCCTTGTGATTGTCTTTGCTAGACTGTGAGCTCATTGTTATTTCCCTTGTGCTTAGTGTGTAGGTGCTCTATACCTGGTAACTGATGAGTCAGGCCCCTGCTAAGACTCAAGCCAAATGCTCTGTCAGCTGTACTAACTGCTTCTTGGGGAAGCCATTTCTCATCACACTTTGATGGGTCTTCAGTCCATAAGCACCTATGTATAGAGAACACTGTTCCAAGTTTTGGGGACACAAATGTAAGAATGTGAAGGGGGTAGAAGATAATGTTCCCACCTCCAGAAGCTCATCTGCCCTCAGAATAAGACAAGCACAACATAGAAAGGACTTCGAGGGCCTTGTCTTCAATATTTGGTGAAGGAATGAGCATGTGAGTGAGAAAGGAAGAAATCCAATGATTTGGTGCTTTAAGCAAGTGGAAGTACTAAGTGGACCCAGAGTAATCAGAGTGGGCTGGGACTGGTCAGCAGAGGCTTTCTGCCAGCCCTGGCCTTTGAGCTGAGACTTGCAGGAAGCCATCGGTCCATTCCCTTCCCCTTCTTCCTCCACTGCATAGCTGAAGAGCTTTGACCAGTTCACCTGCAACCTGCTGTATGTGAGCTGGAGGAAGGACCTCACCGAGCATCTCCACTGCCTCTACTTCCGGGGCCGCGTGTACTACACCCTCAACGTGCTGCGGGATGACATCGATAACCCGTAGGCGCTCCTCTTGGTGCTCGCTGCCCTCTGTGTGGGTCTTTCCATCTGGCTCAGCCCTGCGCAGATGTGTTGGAGATCATCTGCAGTCCTTGGCAAATGTTGATAAGCTCCGTGGGTGGAGGGTGCTCGGCAGAGGACCCCTGGGGAGGCTGCAGGGCTGAGAATAGGGAGCTAAAAACTAGGAGCAGCTCCTTTTTGTTGATTTCATATTTCCAGGCCAGGTACCCTCCTAAGAAAGTGTCCTTGCTAGAAAAGGCTAGAAAACCAGCTGCTGGATTTTTTTTGGCAGTAAAAACTTACTGCCGTGAGGACTCAGTCTAGGACTCAAATCCCTGTCACCTCCCAGCTTATAGGCCTTAAGTTCACTGAGCCCCAGGTTCCCTTTCTGTAACAAGAGGATGAGGATAGTTCCTATCTCAAAGAATATAGAGAGGATGAAATGATGCTCATGGAGTGCATATGTACAGAGCCTGGGACATAGCAAGGGTTCCAGTGTAAGCTGTCATTGACAGGTGAGGAAACTGAGGCCCAGAGGATGCAAGTGACTTGCTCACAGTTATGTCTCACTGGAATAGGAGTCAGTGTGGCCCTTGTGGTGTGATGGGGCATGTGGGGTCTCCTCAGACCACCTCACACCCCACTCCCCTCCTCCCAAGCACTTTGTTGCCTGGGGTGACCTTTCCTCAGCTCACGCTGAGCTTTATAGCGAAGATTTTTGGGAGGCTGCTGCTGCTGAACTTCTAGACCTACTCCCTGGTTCAACCCGTATGAAGCCTGTGCAGCCAGATAGCTAAAATGGGGGCAGGCTTGTAAAAGAGAGATTAGGAAGAGTGAGATAGATGGGATAGTCTCCCTAATCATTCAGAAACCCCCTCAGGTTTTTCCTCAGTGCTACTCATAACTGGCTCAGGATCCCTAGTGCCGGATGTTCAGTTGCCACTTTCTCTGAGCGCTAAACTGAGGCATTGTAAGAAACCACTCTCCACAATCCTGTTTAAAGGTCTTAAGGGTCTTGTTGCCTCCAGGGCACCCTTGTCTGGGTCCATCTTCCCACTGGGTTGCTGCTGACAGTACTGAAAGGCAAAGTCGGAATAGAGGTGACCTGAAACTGTCAGCTTCCTAGGTCCAGTTGCTCTGTCATTGGCTCCAGGGACCAGCGGATCAGCCAGGATGTGGAGAGGTTCTGCCGGCAGTTCAGCACCATGGCCAGCAAACTGATCATCTCCCCGTTCACCCTCACCTACTACACCTATCAGTGCTTCCAAAGGTGAACCTCTCCTCTTGCCAAAGTTCCACCTCCCCCACCAGCCAGGTGTTCACATGAGCTCTCCCAGGTCAGGATCCAATAGAGACTAGCATTCCCTCCCTCCCACCAGCACCTCAGGGAGTCTTCCCACCTCTAGTGCTCGGCCCCTGCCCTCCCTTGGGCCCTGCAGCTTCTCAGTGTCCCAGGGATCCTGGTGCTTTTAACAGCTTAGACCAGATACCAGATGGCCCCTCGCAGGAGCAGAGGCCCCCATGTCTGCTGAGATGGACAGGCTGCCTGGAAGGGGGCAGGAGGTAGGGCTGAGGCCTGCAGGGATATGTGGCTGTTCCTACCCCCACTCTCTGCCTTTCAGCACAGGCTGGCTCGGGCCTGTGAGCATCTTCGGATATTTCATCCTGGGAACCATGGTAAACAAAATGTTGATGGGGCCCATTGTGGCGAAGCTGGTGCAGCAGGAGAAGCTGGAAGGAGATTTCAGGTGTGTTTCCCTTGCTTGAGGTTTCTGGGCTGGGCATGATGATTAAGGAATGGGATCTGGAGTGAGACTGCCTAACTTCAAATCCCAGCTATGCCAATTACTAGCCAAAGGCTCTTAGGCCTTTAACCCCCCTAAACCTCAGTTTTTCCATCTCTAAAGTGGAGGTGGTACTGTTATCCACAGAGAGAGATGACACATGCAGAGCACCGAAGATGGTGTCTGGTTGGCCAGCATCATCCCTTGGCCCTCTGAAGGCTCCTGTTGCAACCACCCACCAGCTGGTGGATCTGGCCTCTGCTCTGTGTGTCTTGGCCACCTCCTTCAGGCCAAGCCCTGGGAGGAGGAGGAACTGTGAGCACAAATGCTGGAGAGAGGAGAGGGGCTGTCCTGTCAGCAGGGCTTCTGCTGCCCCACCCAGGCCCTTCAATTTCCCACCCTGTGACAGCTCAGGGAAAGGCAGGCCAAGCAGCCAGTTACAAGGTGGAGCTGGGCTCCTCTTTGTCTGGAGGTCTTGATCCAGGCCTCCGACCCAGGCCAGTACTGCCCAGGGTCAGCATGCATTTCCCTTTGGCCTGCCCAGGTTCAAGCACATGCAGATCCGGGTGAATGCTGAGCCTGCTGCTTTTTTCAGGTGAGTCTAGGGGAGAAAGGTCACCTTCTGCTTTGTCTAAGCTTGTAGTGGAGATGGAGGAGAAGGAAAGATGAACTGTGCAACCCTCCCGCCATCACCAAGCCCAGGGGCTGAGCATCCTCACACTTGGCTAGAATCCTTACCCTGTATCTCTCTCACTGTCCTTGTCTGCCTTACCCCGAGGTCCGGGGATTTGCTTCTGAAGCTGGTGGTTCCTTTTAGTGGCCTAGCATAGGGCCTACATTTATTCCAAGAATGAAATGAGTGAATGCTTCATCATCTTCCTGATGACTGCAGGGTATTGCCTCGGCCTCTTTTTCTGTCTGTAAAGTAGCTTTCCACCAGTCCGTGTAGCATAGGAGGAGAGATCAAGAGAACCCTTTCTCACAAATGTCTATGTGGAGCAAAGTTGTGAAATCCCATTCCTTCCCTCAGGGTCAGGGAAGGTCCCTGTGCTCTGCCTCCTGTAAAGCCTCCAGGATCATTGGACTAATAGCAGAGGACCCAGAGGCTTGTGTTTAAGTAGTGAACGCTTCTCATGGATCTAATAGCCCTGGGATCTTGCTCTTCTGTCAGTCTCAGCTCCAGTTTGCAGCTGCCACCACTTGGGGGCACCAAGAATACTAGGAATCTATCAAACCAGGGTTTGGTTGTGTGGGTAGGGCCATGATAAATTGTTGTTGCATTCTGTAGTCTCTGCTCTTGAAGCCCTGGGCTCTGGGCAAAGCAGGTTCTTGGAGCTCTGGATGGGTTCTTCTGCGACTTCTCTGGCCCTGTTCATGCAGAATCTGAAATGCTCCCTCTGTCCTTTCCTCGCCTTTTCTTCCTTGAGAATTTCTGCCCACCCTTGAAGCCCCAAATCACCTTCTCCAGGAGGCCTTCCCAGACTCCCTTAGTGGTCAAGCCTGTTGTTTGTTGTAGCCCTGAAGACACGCTGCTTATGTAACACTTTCCGTGTTCTAGGTGAAGAATGCAGTGCTTCTGCCTGGGAGCTTGAGAACAGGGACTGTCTCTTCCACCTTTGTGTCACTGGCTAACTAGGACAGAGCCTGCCACGGAGTGACTACTGCTTGTATATTTGTCTAATAATAGCAGCTATTATTTATTGAGGGCCCCTCATTGGTACTTTATATTCAGAAATTATCAGTTTAATTTACTATGTAGATATTATTAGTGCCATCTTACAGATGAGGACATGACACTGAGACTCCAGGCTTAAGTAACTTGTCAGTGTCACCCAGCTAGGAACTGGGCAGAGCCAGGATTTGAACCAGGTCTGCCCAGTCTAGAGTTCATGTTCTTCCCACAGACAGTACCATGTTGGATGAATGAAACAAAGAATGGATGCGAGTGGTAGAAAGGGTTTGAGGTGAAAGTCATTTGAATGGGCTTGGTCCCTAAAGGAGGATGTATGAGGGACAGAAGGCCACCCCCAAGCCTGCCTGAGGCCTTCCTGGCCCATGGACATCTGAGCCTTTCTCGTCAGAGCTGGGCACGTGGAGCACATGAGGACAGACCGCAGGCTGCAGAGACTCCTTCAGACCCAGAGGGAGCTGATGTCCAAGGAGCTCTGGCTGTACAGTAGGTGCAGGGCGCTCGGGAGGCACAGCCACAGGATTGGGGTAGTCCTCTTCCCTTCCCACACCCCCTGCTTCCTCTCCACTCTGATGCATGTGCTCTGAGGAGGGCGTTAACCAGGCAGAGCCACAGCCTTGGCCGTAGGTCTCCTTAGGAAAATGAGGATTCAGGGAATAGCTGGTCCTGCTTGGTGTCCTTTTTCCTCTGAGAGCATGTGCCAGTTCCCAGGTCCCTTATCCTGGGTCTCTGGCTTCTGCAGTTGGCGTCAACACGTTTGACTATCTGGGCAGCATTCTGAGTTACGTTGTGATCGCAATCCCCATTTTCAGTGGCATCTATGGAGACCTGAGCCCCACAGAGCTCAGCACCCTGGTCAGCAAGGTGAGAATCCCTCCTGGTGACCCCACAGGCCATCCCGTCTGCCCCTTGGCCCAGCACCCAGGCCTCGGAGTCAAGCCTGTGCTCACTGTGCTCCCTCCTGTCCAGAATGCCTTTGTGTGCATTTACCTCATCAGCTGCTTCACCACGCTCATTGACCTGTCCACCACGCTCTCGGATGTGGCTGGCTACACGCACAGGTGAGGCTGCATCCCGCCCTTCTAGGTCCCAAGCAGTGTGTGCTGCCGGGAGAAGTAGCTGGAAGAGAAAAGGAACAGCAAAGCTCCCCATACACTAGTGGGCATGAGAGAAAATGCCTTCGCCGTGGCCCCCAGACCCTCCTCAGATTTTCACCTCTTGCCCAGGATTGGGGAGCTTCAGGAGACCTTGCTGGACATGTACCTGAAGTCACAGGATGGTGAGATCCTGGACGAGAGTGAGTGGGACTTGGACAGGTGAGTGCTGGGCTGGCAGTGCAGTGCAGCAGTTGGGAATTCAGTCCCTGGAACCACCCAGCCAGGGCACCCAGGAGCCCTGCCCTTTCCATGCTGGGCAGCAGAGTCGTGTGGAGCAAATGAAGAAATCTGTGTCTTGTGTCAGGCACATTATAAATGTTCACAGTCAGTGTTGCTGTTCTGGCATCTGTTGTGTTCATTTACACCACCCCCAGCTGAAGAAAGCAAAGTCAGCCTGGGACTGAGATAGTAAAACAAAAATCTGAATATCCCTCCTCTACTTTTTTGCCTCCCCCACCTACTGCACCCCACCACCTGCTCCTTTCCTCAGGGCACGTCTGTTCTTTGTTCCTCAGGCTCACCCAAACCCAGAGGTGTCTCCATTCGTGTATCTGCAGGCTCTGTGTTGTTTCTGACCTTTCTGTACGTTGAGGATTTGTTTCATGTCTTCACTTTTCTTGGGAAAATTACTAACTCTTCTATGTCTCTCTTGGTTCATCTCAGTAAAGGGAACAGTAAATGGAAACTTGCTCTTAAGGTTGTTGTGAGGATTAGATGTAATTGATGGAAATCGGCCACAGATTAAACGTTCAAAAACAGAAATAGCCTGAATTCCAGGGCCTACATCCAACTCTCTTTTTAGGAACCGATGCCTTAGTTGTTGCCTCAGCCCGAGGTCCAGGCCTCATGCACCTGTGAGCCCAGAAGCGAGGCGATGGGGCAGGGGCTGTAGGAAACCAAAGGTGCTGTTCTTCAGGGAGATGGGTATCCGTGGAAAGCCAGAAACCCCACAACCATTGAGGATTCCTACTCCCATTCTCGTCATCAGTCCCCTGGCTGCACCATACTGCCAGGAAGACCCACCAACATTAGGTCAGGCAAATTCAGCTGTGTGACCCTGAGCAAGTTACTTAGCACCCTGACTTGGTTTCTTCCTCAGCCAAGTGGGGATCATATCTGAGATTCATGGGTATTAAGACTGATTAAGGTCAGTCATGTGGGGCTTTGCCCAGCCTGGCACAGAATATGTGTCCCCAGCCCCACCTCAGTAGGTCTGCTAGGGCTGCCATAGCAAAATACCACAAACTGCATGGCTTAAACAGTAGTTTATTTTCTCTTAGTTCTGGAGGCTGGAAATCCAAGAGGAGGGTGGTGGCGGGGTTGGTTTCCCCTGAGGCCTTGCTCCTTGGCTTGCAGAGGGCCGTCTTCTCGGTGCACCCTTATGCTGCCTTTTCTCTGTGCATGAGCACCCTTGGTATCTCCCCCTCTCCTTAAAAGGACACCGGTCATATTGGATTAGGGTCCCAACTTAATGGCCTTATTTTAACTTAATCACCTCTAAAGACACTGTCCCCAAATGCTGTTACATGCAGAGGTCCTGGAGTTTGGGACTTCAAGGTCTGATTTGAGGACACAGTTCAGCCCCCATAACAACCCTGAGTCCAAGGAAAGGAACCACCCTTGGCAATGCCAACACTCTCCATCTTCCCCATCCTCCCTTCCTTCTCTGACCCCAGGGCCCCGGGATGGCCAGCTGCAGAGCCAACAGACACAGCTTTTCTCCTCAAGCGGGTCTCCATCTCTGCCCCCGCCTCTGACAAACCCTTAGTCAAGGATCTGAGCCTGAGGATCTCTGAGGGGCAGAGCCTGCTCATCACGGGCAACACGGGCACTGGCAAGACCTCCTTGCTCCGGGTTCTGGGTGGCCTCTGGGCGAACACCGAGGGTGAGAACCAGCCCTGGCCTGGCGGGGTTGTGCATGCACGTGTGTAAGAACCCAGCCCCTTCTGCTGGGGAAAGGGAGCGAGAGGGAGTCTCTGGGAGGCCTCAGAATGGTGGTTTCTTTACACTCTGCAGGCTCAGTGCAGATGCTGACAGACTTTGGACCCCACGGGGTGCTATTCCTGCCACAAAAGCCGTTCTTCACTGATGGGACCCTTCGGGAGCAGGTCAGCCTGGGGCCCACTCCTGCTGCCCACCTGGGTCCTCTGGCTGTGTGGCAGGTCACCCTAGCGTTATGGGGCAGGAGGTGTCATAAAAAATGGCCCATGCCCAGGAACTCCCTGGCTCTTAGAACATTTTAATGACACCCATAGACTGGGCCATGTACTCAGAGCAGCTCCCAGGGGCAGGTTAACCTGTGAGGGCCACCAAGGTTTCTCCCTGCCCTCAGAAGACCCACAGACTCTTTCACCCCAGACACATGTCTGAAGGTGGCAGTGACCCTGCCCCGCTCTCGCCTGCCCAGCGTCTCACTGCAGCCTCGGCCAGGGTGTTCCTTACTGGCCTCAGGTGGAGAGGAGCCTGGCCTCTGGCAGTTCCTGGGGCTGTTTCTGCGGGAGCTTGGGCTTGTACAGTGCCACCTCTCATTGGCCACCTCTCATTGGCCCTCGTCCTAGGCCCATGTGGTTTGTGTTTTATCAGGTGATCTATCCCCTCAAGGAGATCTACCCGGACTCAGGTGAGCTGGGCCTCCTCGCATATCCTCCCATCCCAGTTGTCCCAGGGCTGTGTCTGACTGTGGCCTCACCTGTGCCTTTTGGGAGAGGCCCCAGCTGGGCTGCAGGTGTCAGGTTGGGTCCCCTCCTCCTTCAGCTGTTCCCTGTTGTCAGGTCTACACCTGAGCATAGCTTGTTCTGTCTTCTCCTTGGGGAGAGACCCCCATTGGATGAAGGGAAGGGATTATTTCTTTCTCCTGGCCCTCGCCGTATTTAGTGAGTGCTGTAATCTGTCACCTCAGAGCCTTAGCCCAGGTTCTGGGGCCCCCACCCCTGCCCTCATCTGTTTGGCTACTCAGAAGGATGGACTTCTGGAAGAAAGCTTCTCTGTTTGGCAGGTGCTACTGATGATGAGAGGATTATGAGGTTCTTAGAGCTGGCAGGCCTGGTAAGTGTGGGCAGGGACCCGGAGACCCGAGCCCACCTGGTAGCACTGAGGACAAGTGCTGGTCCAGCAGAGCCGGTCCTGCTGTCCCTGGGCCCAGGACTGGAAGCATGAGCCCGCGGCGGGGGAGCAGGCCAGGCATGGGCAATAAGAGGCACATTCTCTAGCGAATTTTAAAACCATAGTAAAACTAAGGCAGTCTGTTTTTTCTAGTCACCATGCTCCAGCAAATCTAAACAATGTAGTTGGTAGGATATTCCTGACTGCCTGGGCAGATCACTCCCACAATCCCCAACCTTGACACATGACTTGGGATAGATCTTGGAGGGTGTGCGGTGGGGACCGAGGGCATTCCTCAGGATGGCAGGAAGCAGGAATGAGCCCTTTTTGGATATCATTCTCTCTGGGTGTGTTACAGTCCAGCTTGGTGGCAAGGACAGAGGGTCTGGACCAGCAGGTCGATTGGAACTGGTAAGAAGGGGAATGGGATGCTCCAGGGCCACCTCCCCACAAAAACTGGGTTCTAGGGGCCTGGTCAAGGGGGGAATGGCTCCTGTTTCTTGGCCCACCCAGTGCTCATGCCCTTGGGAACAGAGCTTTGGCTTCACTTTATGTGGGCAGTGGGGCTGCAGTTGAAAGGGAAGTGATACCTGTCTGTCCCAGGGCCAGCCTCTGCAGTTATAACTCAGACGCTGCTCAGACCCAGTCAGTGCAATAGCCAAGCTATATCCTCCTCCTTCCTATGATCCTCTCTTTTCCTTTTCCTCAGGTATGATGTTCTGTCCCCAGGAGAGATGCAGAGGCTTTCCTTTGCCCGGCTCTTCTACCTGCAGCCGAAGTATGCAGGTGAGGTGTGCCCTGTAGGTGCACTTGCCAGGTGCTGTGTATGCTCACAGGTGTAGCAGCATGTGTTTGTGTACACCTGGGGAGGTGTTTGTATGGTAGGAGAGCTCACCTGCACATGGCTGGGCACCTGTGTTCCTTTGGGAGAGGATGTCAGGGTTCTACCCAAGAGGCAGCCATGCGGGGCACCCTCACGGCAGCTCTGGGTATGTGACACTGCCAACGCGCAGCAGGCCCATGCCACAGCAGCATCTGGAGCCATCCTGGAGTGGGCTTTTGATTTTATACCCCTCAGCCTCTGCCACCAGTGAATGGGTGTTCGTTCCTCTAGCTGTGCCTGGCGGAGGAATGGCAGGTGTGAACTTCTGCAAGGACAAGTTTGATTCCTAGGAAATAAAACTGGGATTCCCTGGATTGAGTGGTCCTAGGCAGTGACAGCTGCCTATCTATAGGAAGCTGAGGGATTTTGTTTTGCTGCTGGCAGAAGGCTTCACAGATGGAACCTAGCCCTCTGCTCCTTTGGGCCGTCCTCTCCCTGAGGTGGGGCTCCTGTGAGAGCAGCTCTCAGCCTTTCCCCAGGTGCCAGCCCGAGGTGAGTGGGCCTTGGAGGAGAAGGAGAGGCAGGCCAGGGGCAGGACTCAGTCCCCTCCCACTGGGTTCTGCCCTCAGTGCTTGATGAAGCCACCAGCGCCCTGACTGAGGAGGTGGAGAGCGAGCTCTACCGCATCGGCCAGCAACTGGGCATGACGTTCATCAGTGTGGGGCACCGGCGCAGCCTTGAGAAGGTACCCGTGCTCACAAGGATGGCCTGAGAAGGAGGAAGAACCCAAAGGCTGGGCCTGGCCAAGGCCAGAGGCCTCTCCAAATGGGGAGTAGGGGTGGCAGAGAGGACGGGATCAATGGCCTCCCGCTGTCACAGCCAGGGCCACCTGATCTCTGCATGGTGATGGTCTCTTATAGTTTCACTCCTTGGTTCTGAAACTCTCTGGAGAAGGAAGATGGGAACTGACCCGAATCAAAGGGGAATGAAGCCAAGGTGACTGACCGCCAGGAGGAGAGCCAAGCTCGGGCCGGTCAGCAGTCCCCAGAGCTGAGCAGGAGGACTGATGGGGCTTGGCACCAGCCCCAGACTGCCTCCCAGGGCCTGCCGCTGAGTCGCCCTCCCTGGGGCGCTCAGGACGCCTCCTGCTGCCTCAGCCTGAGCTCCCTACACTTGAAGTGCTAATTACTTACAAAGTACCTCAGACTGTGTTTCCTAAAGAAAAATCTGAAAGTGGGTCTTATGAAGGGTCAAAGAGGGTCAGAAGAACAAGAAATCTTTAAGATCAGTTATATTTTGCAACATTAGATTTTTAACTTTAATCTACTATTTAATTTTCTAACTTTTTAAAAAAGATAAACATTAAGAAAAATATTCTTAGCTTTCCCCCCTTTCTCTTTCTTCTCCATTATAAGATCTTTTTAATTCAATCTTCAGACTCCTATTTGAGAGCCTGGGGGGGATGCCTCTGTGCTGGAATCTCTGCTCGTGGTTTTCACTTCACTCCAGGCCTCTCCCCTTTCCGTTTGCCGGCTGTACCTGAGCCACTCACCTCTAGGGCCCTTCTTTTTCTCTTGTTTTAACCCAGATGAACATGAAGTAGTCCTGCAGTTTCAGTTACCCTCAGTTACCCGCAGTGAGCAGATCCTCCTGATGTAGGTCAGAAGGTCAGCAGCAGCCTAAGGCGGCTGTGCCTGCATCACTCACCACACTTCACCCCACCACGGAGGCCTTTTTTCATCTCAGCATCACAAGAGAAGGGGGTGTACAGAATAATAAGATATTTTGAGAGAGAGAGACACCACATTCACATAATTATTATTTTGTTATAATTGTTCTATTTTCAGTTATTGTCATTAATCTCCTACTGTGCCTAATATATAAACTAAACTTTATCATAGTGTGTATGTATATACAGAAAAAACATGGTATATATCAGGTTCAGTACTCTGTGGTGGGGGTCTTGGAACATATCCCCAACAGATAAAGAGGGACTAAGTGTAAATCCCTTTCCCCTCAATTAAAGTAAGGTTGAGATTTCTCAAAAGTGATCTATGTTAGGGAACAACAACAGGTTGAACAGACAAAACTCAGAAAGCACAAAAGCATGAGACAAAGTTACTGAGCCCAAAGTCCTTTTTCTAGAACAGTGTTCCCCAAAGTTCAGTTGTCAGGGTTGCTGCTTCTTCCCCTCCAGGCTCTAAAACATGAGTCTGGAGATTCAATTAAAAAGTTACCAAGTCCAACTTGTGTATCACAAAGTCACCTCAAACCTAGCAAGTCCAAAACTGAACTTGGGGTCTCTCCGGGAAGCCTTTTTCCAGCGTCTGCTCTGAAGGGCTGTGGTGCACCAGCTGTCCAGCTGCATGAAATCCGGTGGCATCCTGAATGTGCCCCGTCAGTCCCTTGCCCAGCTCAGCACCCCATCCTGTCAGTTTTACCATGTAAATAGATTTTCCTCCACCCACTTCTCTCCCTCGGCTTGATTCCTGCTTAGGAGGTGCTCCTGAGGGAGTAAGAAAAATAAAACCACAAGGAGAATCAGCGAACGGGAGCCTGGGTGACCGCTGGACTCTGGAGGAAGAAGTGTGAGGAGGCAGGCTAAGCCCTGTCATTTGGGGGGATGTTCCAGACCTTGTGGTGCAGCCATTCTGCAGACAACACAGCCATCAAAAATAAAGGAACTTAATATGTTTATTCATCAAATATTTACTGAACACCTTCCATGTATGAGGCACTATTCTCATACAGTGGGAACAAGGTGGGTCTGGTGTCTCCCCTCAGACCTTATATTCTAAGTGGGTCCGAAGACCTTAAAGTGACTGCATACAGTTTAACATCAGGTGGAAAACATTTACAAAATTGTACATATGCCATGATACTGTAGAAATTTTTCATGAGCTTCCTCTAGAATTCACCCACCCAGGCATTCCCCAGAACACCAATTCAAATACAGAACCATGGAAGAACATGATAGAATTTTGCCAAAAAGTTCATGAGATTCTGAGGAATTAAATTGCCTCCTGCAAAGCAAAACATCTTTAAAATCCCCATTATTTTCTCCCCTTCCTGCCCCCACCCCTACCAAAGTTTCACTCCTTGTTCTCTCCCTCTCCCATATCCCCCTCAACCTTGGTAAGCTCCCTGGAGACTCCTCTCCCTCCCTTCCCATGCGTTTGGGTACAGGAGGAGACAATTTGGGTTCCAGTGTAAACTATCCCAAGGAGAACCAAGGTGGGTAGAAGTGATCTTAATTTTTGGATAAAAATCTGTGAATGTAACATCTACTGGGCAAGCACCACGGACACATGGAAGTACTCGTTAACAGCTGCCATTCCTCCGGGGCCTCCCATTCACCCAGCGCTTTCTAGATGTTTTTTCATTAACTCTGCAGACCTCGCAGGGAGGAAGGTTGCAGCGCTGGGCTGTGCGGCTGATGGCTTACCCTGCTAGGGAGGGGTCTTTCAGTTCTTGTTAAAATGCCCCTGGACCAAGTTGGCTTTTGTGCTTTATGTGGAAGGATGGAAACTGAGGAAGTTGAGTTAGTGACCTGGTCACAGAAACTAGCCCATTTGGGAAGTGGGGAGAGGCTGTGGACAGGAAGAAATTAGGGAGAAAGATGTTAATCATGGGAAGATAAGGAACCAGAGACTTGGGTAAGCCACCACCCATAATTTTGAGGGTGGAAGGGGTCTTGGAAAGGAGGTCTCCGTTCCTGCTACAGGCCACAGGGAGCTCTGACTTCTCTGTTCTGCGTCCAGGGCAAGAGCTGGGCTTGTCTCCCAGGAAGCTAGAGAAGAACAATGCCAGCAGCCCTCTGTAAAGATTGCCTTCCCAGAGCATTGTCCTGTCGGGGACAAGAGCTTCTGACTGATGCCCTATTTGGGTGTAAGGATGATGTGGTCCTGGGATAAATGCTGGGTAAGCAAGGACCTTAGGCACAGGGAGTTGTCAGGAGAGCTCGTAACTGGAGAACAAGTCCGCTGAGAGGGAGTCCAGGACCTTTGTAGGAGGCTGCAGAGGCTGTCCTCCCAGGAGGTAGGGTGAAGCTTGGACAGGCCCCAGCCCTGGGCATCAGGCAAGGGACGTGTGCCAGGGGACACTGACCTCAATCTTGCAGCAGGGTAAGGCTGTTCTGTGGGCCAGTGATTTGCCCATCTGTACGTAGGTAAGGTTCGGGGGTTTAGATGCTTCTGGGTGAGGCTCTGGGCAAGTCCAAAGGCAAGGCAAAGACTGCCTAGCATTAGACCAGTTCCTGTCCCCAGGCCTAGAGCTACCAGACCACAGTGGGATGCAGGGGGAAACCGGTGAGTTTCAGACCTGGGAAGAGGTTTATGGTTTATGCAGAGCTTGAAGAACCCAAGGGAAGCCAGCTCCAGTCACATTTCCCTAAGAACCTTGTGAAGAAGCAGTTCCTTAGCTTTCCTTTTTACACCACTTGAGGAGTCTTGAGTTCTGGGACCTGAAATGGCTCTCAAGTTCAGAGCAGAACCCCTGCTCCTCTACCGCCACCCCCACCTGCTGCATTCACTTCACCCATCTCCAGGAGTGGCATTTCCACTGTGCACCCCAAGCTCAGGCCAGAGACCTGAGACTCTCAGGACCTCCCTCCCCAGGTCCAGTCTATCACTAGGTCCCATGGTTCTGCTTCAGAAAAGTGAAGAAAATCATTGGGTGTTGTAGATAAATGGCCAACTCTCCCTTCTTCAGGGAAGCCTGACACGCTTCCTGGCCTGCCCTAGCCCTCAGCCCACTGGGATGTGTGAGCCACGTGAGGAGAGGGAGGGGTTGTATCTGCTCTGTCCGTTATGCAGCACTGGCACACAGTAGGTGCTCCAGAAATACCTGATACATGAGGGAACAAGTGGAGTCTCTCCACCTGCCCCAGCCTCTCGGGGCCCTCATGCCACCTCAGCCTGTAGCTTGTGTCCTGAGGTGTACCTTACCCTACACACTGAGGTGGTTCTATCTTCCCATGGACACTGCGTTTCTGAAGGGCAGGGGCATGGCCTGCCCTAGGCCTGTGTTCTGCTGGGTGTGCATGACAGGTTCAAGGCGGATGTAAGCAGGTTGTCACCACACCTTCCTGGGCCCCCTGGTGAAGCAGGAGAGGGTACAAGTAGAGCCAGGAAGGGGCTGTGGTGAATCTGGGATACTTCCTCATGATTAGATTCAGGTCATACAACCTAATCATGAGGAAATACCAAACAAAATGAGGACATCCTTTAAAGAGGTGGGCCTGAAATCTTCAGAAATGTCAAAAGTTGTGGAAGGCAAGGTCAGACTTGCCTGATTCTGACTGAAGGACACCATGGAGCCTTGGCAAGGACTTCAGTGCGTGGTGCTGGATTGGATCCACCA